CCTAAGCGCCGGAACCGCATGTGGGTGCCGGTGACAGTTACTGCACCCGGTGCCGCTCACCAGACTGGGCAAGACACCGCGCCCGATTTCCTTTCAGCACCGAGTGCCAGACGTTGTAGTTTATTCTACCGGAGGCAGGGAGGGCGGTAGTATTCTATCAGGTTTGGGATAACCCAGCAGAAACGCAGCGGGAACGCCTTGGCTAGGAGTCGAACAAGGATCCCGGGCCGCAGTGGTATAGTTTACAGTGGGGGATAAAGCAGTCACTTTCTAGATAGTTGTTTTTCTTTTTCTGAGCTGCAAGTATCTCGTTATTTCTCACACAAATCTGAGAGCTGAATTGAATGGTTTTGAATTTTCAAAGTTAAGCTGTGGGACAGTTTTAGATAAATGACAAGTAGAAGTGTTATTAGAGTATTATTGGGGAAGTTTTACATTCGTTGCTGTGCCTTTTCATACAGGCCCCACCTTTTCGGTCTCCTTAACTGGGTCCTCTTCGTTGTTGAAAGTCCTTTGCATGAGGCTATGGAATATACACTACCTTCTCTGGACGTTAAATATTAGCTACACCTTGAGAACTCCCAGATTTATGCCTATAGCAACACGATCCGAGCCCTGCAACTTTTCGACCTCATTTTGAGCCAACATTATTTTACTCCCTTATTTTGCTGGAGTACTTTCTCCAGTTATTTACTTAAAGTGTTCACATGAGAGACATATTTGATTCCTTGCTCACAAATGACTGCCTCATTGGACTAAAGGCTCAAAGGGATCAGAATGCTTAAGCCACAAACTCACAACTATAGTTCTGCCTAATACACTGAATACCCAATCTCTCTTAACAAGCATAATCACCATGAAAAGCATACTCTGAATTACGCCAGTGGCGTAGAAGCACCAGGAGACAAAAGTTCTGTAATTACAGTCCAGAGAAAGGCTTGTTATTTCATTTTAAAGCATCTTTGAGTTTTATGAAGTGAAGAAATAAAAACAGGCCGGACGTGGTGGCTCATGCCTGTAATCCCAGTATTTTGGGAGGCTGAGACTGGCAGATCACTTGAGGTTAGGAGTTTGAGACCAGCCTGGCCAACATGGTAAAACCCCGTCTCTACTAAAAATACAAAAATTACCCAGGTGTGGTGCATGCCTGCAATCCCAGTTACTTGGGAGGCTGAGGCAGGAGAATCACTTGAATCAAGGAGTTGGAGGTTGCAGTGAGCCAGCCTGGATCACACAATTGCCCTGCAGCCTGGGCGACAGAGCAAAACTTCCATCTCAGAAAAAAGAAAAAGAATTACCTTTTATAAGCAGATGGCTTAAGTGCCAGGGTACACAGGAGAGTCATCAGAAGAGCTAGGGTAAATGCACATGTCCAAGCCCCATCACCAACTGACTACGCAAAATCTCCAGGGTGATTCTGTTGCCCACCCCTGGTAAAAGACAGCTGCTCTAGGGGATTTATTTCTAGAGAATCTGCAGGGGTCAGGACATCCTGAAAAGAGTTATGTCACGTTTAACCAATATTACCAGCTTTACCAAGTATACTATACTGTGGACTGTTTTAATAAAGGCTCCATTACCTTAAATACAGGAGCAGAGCCAGGGCCTTTGTTCTTGGCAATACATCTGTGGTACAGTTGTATTAAGAGTAATTGCATGGCTGGCCCGAAGGTAGTGAGTTATCTCAACTGATTTTTCACAGTCAGGAGTTTGATCTGAAACCCCTTGTTCTACTTTCTCCCCTTCTCACTACTATGCTTGACTAGTCTTAAAGAAAAATAATTTTAAAAAGAATAACTGCAGACCATGCAGCATTCAGAGTATTTGCTTATTTCTTAGTTATGCTGAAACTATTAAATAAACAAGTCCCTAAAGATGTCCCAATAAACAGGACTGCAAGGCTGAAACACTGTAGAATGTAAAGTGAAATTTTAATATAAATTTTAATGTAAGAAATATATTTGCCGGTTTTAATTGTGCAAGATTAACTAAGGGGAAAAGAATTAGGGGAGGGGAATCATATGGACTAAACTGGAAAGCTCTTCAAAAACTAAATCAGCTCTGAGCTCCCACTGTCTCTTCTGGCTTATATGATCTCTTCATATTGTGTCTCCTCTCTCATCTTTGTAGGGCATCCAATTGGACTGGAAAATTAACCATATAATGCAGACCATCTTTATACCTCGTTCAGACATTAATTGTTTGGCTCCATCTGGCTAGAGTAGCAGAACTGGTTTCACTCCACCACACAGACTATTTTCATAGTAGTGGTAAAGCAGTGTAACAGGCAAACATTGAGATTTTGTAAGCTGCCTAGTGTATTTCGATTGTTAAATATGTTTGGTGATGAAAACCCTGGAAACTTCTATTGACCAATCAGTCTGCCCAAGGAATCTTTTCAGTTCATATTCAGTAATATTCATTAGCCTTTCAGCCTGATCTTTGGCTCATAAATTTCAAGGTATGATGATGGAAGCTCAAGCAATGTTCCTGTGTGTAATTATATTAAACCAAACAAAGGTAAATATGGACTCAATGTCAGAAACAAGTAACATCTGGAAATCTATGTTATAACTAAGGGGCACTAAGTTGCAATTATTGCATCAGAGATTTGGGAACTAGGAACATTTTAACCCATTTTGTGAAAGCTCAGGAATCAAGATATTCTTCCTTTGAAATACTTATACATGTCTTAGTTATGTCTTAGTTAGCTTGGGCTGCCATAACTAAATACCATAGACTGAGTTAAACAACAGAAATTAATTTTCACACAGTTCTGGAGGCCCAGGTCAGGGTGCCATCATCGTGGTGTTCTGCTAAGGGCTCTCTTGTGGCTTGCAGAGGCCACCTTCTTTCTGTGTCCTCATGTGGTCTTTCCTTGTATTAAGACCCCACCCTTATGACTTAATTTAAACTTGATTACCTCCCCAAGGCCGCATCTCAAATACCATCACACCAGGGGTTAGAACTTTAACATTAAATTTGGGAGGGTGGGGCGCATTCAGTCCATAACAGGAATCAAGATATTTTTCCTGTAAAATGCTGTCACAAAATTAATGTGTATTCTTGATCACATGCCTTAATTATTTCTTAATGTAACACACATTTCTTTGCAATATTTTCATTTGGGAATACATTTCAGATCACCAAACATTTCTGTATCATGGGGCTTCTTTAAAGGTCTTGAAAACTTTTCAGGAGAGCAACAAATACCCCTCTCCCCCATATTTTTTGACTCAGGAGAGTTGAGGAGGGTAGCAGGGGAAAGCTAGGATCCTTAGTCAGATTTCTCTGCCATATTCTTTCTTTCTGCTGTTTCCTGTCTTTTCTTGTTGGTTATAGACCTTCTCTTCTTTACAAACTTGCTCGATCTCACCCTCCCATATTCTGAGCAATAAAGGGTAAGTAAAGAAAAAACCCTGGATTACTAAGAAGGTCATTTCACAAGTGTTATCCCGACTGTGTGTGGAATTACATGCCTGTAATTCCAACATTTTGGGAGGCCAAGGTGAGAGAATTGCTTGAGCTTGGGAGTTTGAGACCAGCAACACAGTGAGACCTTGTCTCCACACACACACACCAAAAAAACAACAAAAAACAACAAAAACAAAAAACCTAACAAATTAGCTGGACGTTGTGGCACACGTTTGTAGTCTCAGCTACTTGGTAGGCTGAAGTGGACGGATTGCTTAAGCTTGGCAAGTCGAGACTGCAGTGAGCAGTGCTCGCACCACCTGCACTCCAGCCTGGGCCACAGAGT